AGGTATAGCAAACAGGGGAAGGGCACAGGTGAAAGTCAACGCGAGGTCCCGGGTTCGAACTGCAACAGGGGAAGGGCACAGGTGAAAGTCAACGCCAGGTCCCCGGTTGGAACTGCAACAACAGCATCACAGCGAAGGGCATAAAACATAGCAGAAAAGGCAACAACAACAACAGCAACAGGTCGCGGGGATCGGATCGCGTTGGACGTAGGAAGTGTAATGACCCGCCAAAGCGCAGACTGAGAGCACTGCTGATTTCTGGGATTGGCCACTGGAATGTATGCCTTGCTGAGATCACCGCATTCTGCTGCGTTCTCTAAGTCTGTGTGTGTGTTAGATTTTCCCCACAACAGCACCAATTCCACCCAGGTGAATAGATTCAGAATCCAAGCAGTCTTTGTCCTATTGCAGACAACGAGAGCATTTGAGATGTCCAACATATTAAAGCAATTTTATAATTAGACAGTTTTTTGGTTGTCCTTGGGGTACCCCTTTTACTGTGCCTCTTACGCACAAGGCTGCCCCCCACGTTGATTGTGGTTGAGCGGCAGCTGCCCACCTCCCCGTGTGCCTTCACGGCCCACTTGCACGTTATTTCAGGAGGCAGAGTAAAAGGGAAGGTATGCTCCTGTGCATCTCTTCAGATGTGTGTGTGTGTGTGTGTGTGTGTGCCCGCTGGTCTGCGTGCCTGTCTGTGTGCTTGACGACCTGAGTGTGTGTGGGTGACCCGCAAAAGTACTTGTTCGTTAGGAGGCCCCGCAGGGGCGGTACTTAACTGTGCCCGTGACTTTTGAGGGTTGCAGCGGGAAAAACAGTCAAGTGGGAGGGGTAGGCCCGCGACACTTGAGAGCAGCGGGAAAAAAACACTCAAGTAGCAGGTAGGGCCGGTACCACTCAAGTAGTGGTAGACGGGTCAGGCACTCGAGGTCGAGCAGAAGACGACAAAAAGTTGGCATTTTTAGAGGCCCAGTAGCGGTAGGCTAGAGGTAGGCTGCTACCAGTCCAAGTAGCTAGAGAGAGAGAGAGAGAGAGAGAGAGAGAGAGAGAGAGAGAGAGAGAGAGAGAGAGAGAGAGAGAGAGAGAG